CAGGAAGCACAAAGAATAACTGTAGAAGAAGATTCTCTAATGAAGAACATTTCTATTCTGCTCTGACAGAAACAGCAGGGAAATGGAGATACAAAGGGAGAAGTGATCGAGTGAAAAAGAAGAAAGTGAGAGCAGAGATCTGAGAACTGCCTATTATCTCCACACTGCTTCATTGCTTCAGATGCACACACATGCTTGAACGCGCCTGTGCGCAGAACCTAAAAGTGTGTGCACACGTACACACGCGCAACCGTCCTCTCAAATCTGCCCAAATCTCATGAATATGATTGACCTTTTTTACACTGTAATGCTGAGAGCGCATCAAGGGGAAAGGAGAAACTAAACAGAGGCAAGCAGAGTTAATTCAGAACAACACATTATTGAGTTCTGACTGCAGATATGGAAAAGGACAATCTAATCGATAAGCCAAAAGAATGACAATGGCCTCTCGAATCAATGTCTGCACCCCATTTTCTCGCTGTGGAAAAAGCCCTCAATGCAGGTGTTTTTGTTGTTCTGTTTGCACCTGTGAGTGCGTGTCCATGCTTGTGTATATGTGTGTGTATACCTGGCTGTTGTTGTGGTGGAACAGTTGCCAGGACTAATCATTATTTAGTTGTGGCGGGGCTGGAAAGGTCAGCAGTCTGAAATGTCAGGCTGTGTTCAACAGGAGCAAGATGCAGCCGTGTGTTGCTCAAGTGTCCAATTAAAGGGGCAGAGTGAGGTTTGAGTGGGTCTGTGTGAGAGTTGGTATGCATGTGTGTGTGTGTGTGTGTGTGTCCGTGCGTGTGTGAAAGAAGAAAGCAGAGACATGCTGTGTTTTTGTTGTTTCTTTTCCTCCTGTGTGTGTATAAATGCTGTATTTATATGTCAAATTTAAATGTTAAGCGTATATATACAGATATAAGTGTGAACCAGTCTTCAGAGCAGCTAATAAATTCCATTATAAACACAGGCCTCTCTCTCACACACATAGCACGAAGCCACCTGAGCCTATTAGCTCGTTCACACCCGGTGATTCCCTCTGCTGTCTGTGCTGTGATGAGACGAAGGAGGGAGCAATACAACACAAAAGGGCAGAAAACAAGAGGACGGAGGCGATGTGAGAAAACAAGATCACTAATAAATAACAACAGATATCAGGTGTTGCACAGATGACTCGCCCACAGCAGGGAGGGAGGCGCTCGAGAGGATGACAAGGTGACACGGAGCAAAGGAGCAGAAACTCCTGAAATCTGCAGGGAGGAGGAGAGGGTGTCCTGGCTGTGTTTCCCTATCGGAATCATTCATCTGAGAGCCTCACCTGCTCTCCATACAGCCATCATAATAACCTTCACCATGTTCACTGTGTGTGGGTGTGCATGTCCACTCACCTAGCGTGAATGGTAATAAGCAGCGGGGCAGGATAAAATATGTCTGCCGAGTTAAGGATATAATAGACTCCCCTGAATAATGACCTGCAATAATTTACACAGCGTACTGAGCACTACACAGTGTCAGAGGAAGAAACCTGGAAGACAGTGAGGAATAATAAAAAGCCATCTCAGGTCCCTCCACAGGTGAAAACTAAACCCTGAAGGAGGGGATTTCGTCTGTGTCACCAATCATGAGCTCATCTAAAAGGTGCAATGAAAAGTCATAGACGTATTCAGCTGTTTTAAGATGAACTTAATGAGATGTCATTGTGACAGTTAAATGTAAGGTGGGTAGGTTGGTTCTGAAACACTTTTATTTTATTTTTCTTGATAGCCATCAATAAATAAAGTCGTCGGAAAAAAAGGGAAAAAGATGGTCTTGGGATCAAATGGGATAATTGGCTGACGTACCTGTCCGTCACTTACCAACCTGCCTGCCTGCCTGCCCGCACCCTGCCCATGCTCTCACTGTGCATGACTGCACAAGCAGGAGAGACATCACTGAAGCAGAGATTAAGCTAGCTAGCGCGTTACGGAAAAGTCGTCCTCTAGCAGTCAGTCAGTGCACATATATGTGTTTTGAGGGCGTAGCTTTGATGAGAGGGTGGATGGGAGGGGGTGGGATTTATCGATTGCATCTTTTGAAAGTGTAGCCTGCTCTTCCTGGCTTCTCCAGGATTACCAACCTGAGCTTTAACAAGACATTGCAATATCACCAGAGTAAAACTTTGGAGCAACAGAATACGTTATCAGGTTGTAGTGTGATTTATCTCACTTATGAGACCATGTTGTGCATAAGTCTGATGCCGCAGGCTGGCTAAAAACAGAGTGGACACAATTGGAATAACCTTGGTGAGTACAAAGCAAAGAACTCGATTCCTATTCTTTTTTCTTATTTAGTTGCATGAGATTTCATTTTAGTTTCTTCGCACAGTTTATACTTATAATGAGCTGCGAGACAGACTTCTAAAGAGGCAGCTGCTTTAACTAAAAGAAACAGACTCGTTGTGACTGTCCTCTGTGTCAGGGACCCAGATCAACTTGAAATGTAAAGTCCCATTGAGCCGTACCCATCCTCAATAAAGTGAAAATAGTGAATAAAGATTCCCAAAAATTAGTAGAGTCATTGTGAAAATCGACAAAGTTTGGCACCATTGAAGCTTTTTTCAAGAGGTGAACAGAAATCCACTTATCCAGGAGGTGCAGGACTCCTCTAGGGAGATGGGAGAAACAAATATCTCTGCAGCGCTACATTATTCAGGCCTCTGTATGAGAATAGCTGCATGAGTCATCTCTGAGTCAAATGCATATGACAAATGTATTTCTCTCTTTTTACTGTTTATTGAGGTGATTCAAAAACTCAAATTTGTACCTACACTACACTTTGTTTTGAATTAATGTTTGACACTTACACACAGCTCTAGTAACCTACTAGTGCTAAAGATCCATTTTAAGTTGATATATCACATCTTTTGATCAACAGCCTGGGAACAGCAAACAGTCTGATGTCAGATTAGTTGATCTCAGTTGATGCATAGATATTCCCTCCTAGAATAATCGAATCCTTCCCCCCTTTTCCTCCTCACTTGGAAGAAGGTGTTTGTATATAATTGCTCTCACATTCTCTCCCTTCTTTGCCCTTTGTCTCTCTCTGCTTGCCCTCTATCAAACTGTGAAGGCCAGGGGGCCTGAGGAACAGCTGCAAAGTAAACCTGCTAAATTAACCCAGTCTGCATGAGTCTCACATACGCATTATTCTAATCAAAGCACATTAGATCATCCAGCTACTTTAGACATATGGGTCTCTGCATCCTCCTTGCCGTCCCCATCTGTTTCTCCTCCCGAGTTTTTCGAATTTCCTCCTCGCTCTTCATCTCGGTGGATCCCTCGCTCTCACAGCTGCCTCGCCAAGACACTGGCATTAATTTCTAACAGTGCAGCTACTTTCTGACACATTTTCACATCCAGTCAAACTCGGAGCACCATATGCCTGCCTGATTACTAACATGTTAGGAGTTTGAGGTGCGCACCGGGTAAAATTCAAACCACTCTGCACAAACTTTACACATATTTTACTGCTCCTATGCATACAGGAAATAAAATTAAACCCTGGAGAGTACACTCGCTGCAATATGCTCATAAACAATATCTGAACATATTTCATCCATGTTCCATGTGTTTTAGTGGTGCTCAAATGTTTCTTGTCAGAGGAATTCAAGTATGTATACGGCAGCAACTCAGTAGTACATAATAAATCATTTTAGTTGTTCTGATCGTTTGCTCAGATTTATTGTAGTAGATCTAAAATGTGTATTTATGATGGTATTAATTCAGTCTATGAAAAAAAAGTAGCAAAAAGCAGCAATCATAACTTTCAAGTGACATCATTTAAAGTCTAAACAGCAACATAATTCACTGACTATCAATTACCGCATGACCAAGATCATTAAAATCCTCATATACGAGGATAAGGAAATATTTGACATTTTTGCACTAATAAAGAGAGTGTGGAACGTGAGTGCAGAGCATTTCAGTCGTGTTTATGAAAGTATTTAGTTGTGTGTACAGGGAGAAGTCAGGGACATATGGACGTTTGGATGTTTAAGCCTCTTGTCAACACAGAAAGTAAAATGTGTTGACATGCATGGGAGAGTGTACACTACATCCTGTTTAGCAACTTTGAAACACAAACACAAACAAACAGACACAAAGCACACATTATATAAATGATAGACAACACAGATCAGGTGTTGTGAAAAGTCTCACACATTTCTTCACCAACAAACGTAAAAAAACCAACAGAAACTGCTCCTGTGGTGTCATCCAAGTGTCCGTTAGCACTGACATTCAAATTAGTCTCAAAACCAAGTCATTTACACCATGTTTAGACTAAATGTCTGTTGTTGTCCTCCAGCAGTTACTGTTGCACTCACTGCAGTTCTCAAGATAGCTGCAGTTACTGCAACAGTAACTCGCTGATCTCATCTGGCGAGGAGTTTGAGTATCGCTGTTTACCCCTGAAACTCAAAAAGGGTTCTGTGGACTAAAACACTTCACCCTCCATCTGCATAGTGAGTAGATAATGAGGGAATTTTCGTTCTTGGGTGAACCATCCCTTTCAAGTGAGCGAGGCTGGATGTTTATTGAGACTTTTATCTGACATGTTGATGTCTTATAATCTCTTCACTAAAGTCTCCCACATTCCTTTGGTAAAGACACATATCCATACAAACAGAGAGATGTGTATTGTGTTACATGTTTTCTGACATTTAACACAAGCAACCATCAAATTAGCAATATACCTGCAGCATGATTTTCCACAGCAAAAGCTCGATTTTACCTGAGCTCACCCCCCCTAACCTAATGTGCAGGTATGTGCTTGTGTAGGAAAGACAGCTGGTAACAGTTTTAGTTTGGATAGGAGGGAAATACTCGGGGGCCATACTGTCTTGTTTCTGTTGCTTATCAAGCCAAATAATAAAACATGGGATGTATGGTGATTCTGAGGCTCCATCACAGCACAGTTTTATATCAGTGGTGTTGAAATAGAAAGGAGAGTGAAGTCATTAGATTCCAGGGACTTACCTGAGTTGGTGATGGTTAACAGGTCGAGACGCCGCTGTTGCTGTAATAAAAGGAGAGCAGACAGTTAGAAAAATGTCACTGGAGATCATTTACATCAGTTCTCAGATAAAATATGACTGTGATTGTTAACACACACATGCAGAATGTTAGTGGTAAAAGGTTAAAACATACGAGTCAAATTGTGATTTGTGATTATGAGCTACAAAAATAAAATGAATTGGTTGATTGAACGTCTCTGGCCCTGCTCAGACCAGGTATTAACATTGGCTTCAGGTCACCTTATCACAAGTGGCCAGCTCAAACTTCTGATGTGAACACACCCAAGACACACTGAAGACACATTTGATATCCAGTTACCACCTCTGAATGTGGTGTGGGACGCATGTTGCCAGACTCTTTCAGTTGTGTGAATACAAAATATGTCCTGTGTTCTGATCTGCTACTGTTTTACATTGAATAGAATATATTTTTTACATGTTCCCCTGACATCGATTTAATTGTGGCCACCGCCACAATTTCATCATTGACCGCCACATATTGATTTTCTATATTTTTTTACAATCTAAAATGAATAAAGTTTAATTTTATTATACAGCTGTGTGCTGCATATTGATTGACTGAGCTCCTCTTGGCTATTGGCTGAGATCAGTTTAGTTTACTCAGTAATGATAACTTTGACACTACATTGATGGAAGTTAGCTTCAAATAGGCAATTTTTGAAATGTTATTAATATAGTTTGATACTTTTTCCAAGTATGTTGACGGTGCTGTGCTTCTGTTGAGTGTTGAAGTTGTTCCAACACCCAAGTGGCTTCCTCACCATGGTAATGTGTGTGTGTTTGTGTGTGTGTGTGTCCTCATTGGTTGTGATGGAGAGTTTTTGAAAGAGTGTGCAATTTTACACTTGATGTCTCCAGCAGCTGAGAAGAAGTCTAGAGGAGGTGCTAGCTGGCTTCCCCTCTCTTTAACCTGCTGCCTTTCTACACACACGCACACAGTCACACACTTGACTGTCGAGCACTGCAGTAATCAACACCCCAGCCCTCTTCATCTACCAGTCCCTCAGGAAACAAAATCTTCACATCCTAGGAAGGGAGGACCTGCAAGCGTGTATGTGTATGACACACACAGTATGGCTAGGTCACAGTCAAAGCCAGCTTTTAGGACCAGACTTCATTAACATTCGAGCACTATACTAACCAGCTGCTGAGGGGATAAGCAAAGAGACTCTCAACATACTTGGAGTCCTTCTATACCCACATACAGTGTTGCCTGGAGTGGAGCTCTCTGATAGGCTACTTATATCAGTATTAAGCACAGGCTTTTACTCAGAGAGTGATAATAATATACAACATGAGTGGAAATGGGTTCAGTCGGTGCACAAATTAAATAACTTTTTGTACAAGTTCACAAACACTGTAAAGAATGCAACGTTAAGAGTCATAGTGCTCTGACAATTATTGTATCATTCAAAAATAATGTTGAAAAAGACAAGTGTTGTAAATGAAGATAAAGAAAAACAAAATAACAGCACTATGGCATCTTGAAAAAAACAAAGGATGGACCCGGTAACAGATATCACACATCACAACTTAACAACCGAATACCAAACCCATAACTCAAAATGAGGTCATATAAGAGTGAGGTCCACTGTATTTAAGTTCTAATTTAAAAAAGGTCAAATTCTAAGAAGCAGAGGCTAAGAGTCAGGCTATGATAAAAAATAATGAAATCAAAAGTGTTGGTATGGTTGAACAGCCATGCTTGAAGTAGAAGCTGATTGCCATGTGCTATATTTTCATATGGGGGGAGAATGGTAAACAGAGTGTGTTCAGTTTATTGTGTTGCACTCAGTTGTTTAAAGGCTTCGTGACAGAAATTGTTGTGTGACATATGAAAAATGACAAAGTGAGAGAAAAGCTCAGACTCTACCTTCCTTCTTTCTCACGTCTGCACAGTTTAACAGCTGGTTTCAAAGAGTTACGGAAACATCTGCCCATTGAAAAGATGTTGAGTGGAGGAGTTAATAAAGCTACTCATAGGAGTAAGCAGCTAAAGATACACATGTAATCTCTAGTCTGGGAAATATGCCCCTACACTGTTTTATTCATGAAGTACCTGGTGTATGTTTATCTAATTTTAATTTTAAGTGTTCTTAAATATATTCCTACCTTTATGCATAACATTCTTTTTAAAAATAAAACACGTCTGGTAAAATATCTGCCTGTACAATAAACTCGGGATGAAGACGGATCCTAACAAAACAGACAAATTGCTTTTATAGACGACATGGTTAGAGTTAGTGAGAATGATGTGGGAGAGGTGAAAATGTTCAGTGTATTGAAGGTATTGTGAGAGGCTACATGGAGAGTTGAGATTTGAGAAGTACTAAAGAGAGTTAAAGATGATTGTTTTCTGAGGAGAGAAGGTCATTCCAACACGTGGGATTCATTAAAAACAAAAGATAGATCCCACTCTTACGTGCAACGATTTGTGAGGTTGAAGTCAAGGTGCTTTAACAATAGGATTATTTGGGATATTTAGCCGCGAGTACCGTGTGATTCTTACCACACTCATGTCTCCATACACCAGCAGTAAGTTAGCTGGGAGTGCCTCCAGTGCATGGTGTGTGTGGTGGTATGGATGTTGGAGTGGGTGGCCATGTAAGCAGTAGAGGTCACTGTGACAACATGAGACACAGAAAAGCAGAGATCATACACTACATACACACAGACACACACAGACTTACACACACATGCTCAACCTATAACCTCTAACACTCTCTCTCACTCACACACACACACACACAGGCCCAAATAACTTGTGTACTCTCAAAACACTACAGTGAGATTTCATCAGCAAATCCTATATCTACACAGCAGGAAATAACCAGAAAAAACACAATCCTAGATGCATTTATATTTTACATCATTCATTCATCGTCATACGTCACGCTGACATTTTGTTTAAACATCTCCTATTAATCCCTTTTTACAGATATTGAATTTAATGTTTCTCTGTTTCAGAAGTATTCTTCTGTGCTGAAATGCACATAGATAAGGGAATACTGTATGCTGCACAAATAAATATAAAATAATAATAGTTATCAATAAATCTTTTAACACTTTCCTGCAATCGTCTATATTATTAGAGAGGTTGATTTAATTGGACCGTGTAGCACCCTCTACTGGCGGTATAGATTTCTGCAAATGAGGCTATGTTAGACTGAAATATGATCCATCATTTGAAAAGTATTTCTTATTTAACATGATAGTAAGAATGAAATCAGGAAAACACATCTGGAAAAACACAAACATACCCAAAAACTTATAAACCTGATGCCATTTTCAAATGTATTTTTCAAATCCTCACATTTCTAAATACACACAGACTAACAGAGACACGCAACCAGCTGTAACCAGCTGATGAAAAGAGCGAACGCTGTTCAGTCTGCCAGTACTTATACACAGATAATTAATAGTAGAGAATTACAACATACTACCACTGCTCACTCCTCCTGCTGCTTTTGTTAGTCCTCAGCATGGATAAGGTGCTTAGTGTTCTTTAGGCGGGAGAGAGAGACAGACAGACACAAAGAGGAAAGAGGGAGGATCTGATGCAGGGAGAATTACATTAGCAAAAGCATTTCAGGGCAGAAAATAGGATTGAATTAAACTTTATCAAACAGAGCCAAGAGCAGAGGGATCACACCCTTGTTGAAGCCAGCCTAGCGTGAGAGTGGCTGGACACTGCCCGCTCACTGCCATGATGACAACAACAGCTTAAACCAGTGGTAGTGAGCATTTGTTATTAATTGATCCACCGATTTCCATGCATCCATTATCTTCATATTTTATCTAAGAGTCTCGGAGGGGGAGGGCTGCAGCCAATTTTAGCTGACCTTGGACAAGAGGCGTGTTACACCCTGGACAATTAGACAGCGCACCAGAGGGCCAACAAACAGAGCCAACAAAGGCCATTCATGCTCACACACAAACCTATGGGCTGTTTAGAATCTGTGATTAACCCTTTAGACTGTCAGAGGAAGCTGGTGAGAGTTCCAGCAGACATGTGTAAAACATGCTAAAACATCCTAACTCCACTGCACCACCTGTGCAGGGTTTCTGGGTTTCAGGACACTGGACAACACAAGGATTTTCAGTATGTTTTAGTATCTGAATGGCTCAAAAGTTATGAGAAATTAACTGAAAGCAATTGGACTGACCTGATGCAGAACTCTGACAGGGTTTAGTCATTATTTGCAAATGAACAGTCCGGCTCAAGTCCACAGATATTTACCACAGGTGAAACTGGACCGGACCTGCCAGTTTTAGTGTTATTAGGTCAAAAAACATGGAAGCAATTGGGATCCAGAGGTGACAGCTGCTCCAGCTGTTGCAGTAGTCTAGCCAGCTACTATGGACTCTGGGGCCCTGTGGCTAGATGCACAGTAAACAATACTGAGAAGGACCATTGGACTAGAGTCCTAAATAATCTTAGAATAACCTGTTTTATATAGGAACATGATGAAGTTTTACTTTACTGACCTCTTTCTATTCTGGGCTTCAAACCAATGTAAAATTGATATTCTGACTAAAAGACAAACTGCTCAGTTTCCCTGTGGAGGTGTTTATCAGATTCTCCTGTTATTAGTTTCTATTAGTATCTCGTGACTACTACTATCTTTTTAAATTTAACAAGTAGTCATCACTCTCACAACCAGCGCCCCCTTAAACAAATCTATAATGTTCTAATCAGTATAAATACCGTCATTAATAGAACCAATCAGCAGAGCCAAAAGCAGACAGTGCCACCGTCTTAATCTGGGTGGGAAGAGTGAGGGGGTGGAGGGTGGAGGGGTCAGTGGAAAAACCATTAATGCACTAAACCCCTACTTTATGACTAAATTAAATATTCATGCACAATCTACCCAAAACCCATTTGCCAACATTTCCTCCAGAATTTACTTTTCATATTTGCTGATTGTTATCACTAAGAAAAGAGAGTGAGTAAGTAGACAGAGAGAGGAGGCCGAGGAAA